AAAATCTACTTTGAAGGAGAAGCAAGCTGCTTATGAAAATTGTGTTAAGAAAGTGTCCACTCTTGAGAAATCCATTAAAGACTATGATAAAAGTAGGGGTGCCAGGCTCAAAGATTTAGAAAAGAAGATTAAGGCTCTTAAGAGCCAAATGCAATCATCATCTAAAGATCTCAAGGTAAGTCATTTGGATAATATGATTGACCTAATTGATTAATAATTGTTGCACCTTGCAACAAGTCCTATCATGTTAAATGGGCTTCTTTTTATTTGTATGCTGTTTCTTTTTCTCACTTTACACACTTTTTTTTCAACTGGTTATTTTTTTATGTTCTTTTCTCTTTCTCGGACGGTTCCTTATGACAATTAATATTAATTGACCCCAAATCATTTTGGGACTAAGGCTTTGTTGTTGTTGTTGTTTCATTTCCTCGTGTCAATGTGTCATCTGATTCGGGTGTGCATTTTGTAGGGGCATGAAAATCAAAGAGAAAAACTTATAATGGAAATGGAAGCAGTAGCTGAAGAGCGCACTTCCCTTGCGAGCCAACTTGATTCTCTGCAGACTCAAATCCAAAGTTTGGTCTCTGAAATCAATGAACAGAAAGTCAAGGTTACTCAGTTTTTCTATCTTCCGAATGTTTGATGTTTAATTAGTGCCCTTAGCGGTAACCTTTGCAGCATTTAAACTTTTTCTATTGTTTTTCTCCCAGGTGGCCTCTATTAAGGAACATCATGATGAGGCTCTATCAAACCTTAATGCAGCTCGTTCAAAGTTGAAGGAATGCGACTCACAAATAAGTTGTATTTTGAAGGAGCAGCAAAAGCTCCAAAACAAAATAAGTGACGCAAGCCTTGAAAGGAAGAAGATGGAAAATGAGGTAATTTTGAGTTCAGTAGCAAGTTTTTTCAGTTTTGTTTGTGTTGGATTTTTATTGTCGGTTTCTCTGTCATTATGTGTCCCATGGTATATTTATTTATCGTAATGTATGGCTTTAAGGAATAACATTGTGAAAACAAAAATTTAAATTTAAATTTATGCAGTCTTTAGCAAATAGTAGGTACCATACTGGGGATTTACGCTGTTTCATACTGTGCCTAATCTCTATGGTCTTTTCTATAATCTCTGATCTGGCTATAATTATTCTTTCATACATTAAGATCTTTTTGATGCCCCAAAAAGCTGTTCCCTGCGTAATTATTTGTCATACATAGGTGAAAAGGATGGAGGAGGAACAGAAAGAGTGCTCTTTGAAGGTTGACAGGTTAGTAGAAAAGCATTCCTGGATAGCATCTGAGAAGCAGCTTTTTGGTCGGAGCGGAAGTGACTATGATTTCGCATCTCGTGATCCTCGCAGAGCGAGGGAGGAATTAGAGAGACTGCAGGGCGAACAATCAAGGTAGAACATAGTCTTCATATTTAATTCTTTTAGTTTGCATTTTTTATATGCATTTTTAATTTAAATATTTTTATTAGCTTTCTTGATGATGGATTTTCAAGGGCAACATTTTTGTAACTTCTTTACCTTCCTCAGTCTAGAGAAAAGGGTAAACAAAAAGGTAATGGCAATGTTTGAGAAAGCAGAAGATGAATATAATGATTTGATATCAAAGAAGAACATTATTGAGGTTAGCATTCATTATCACTTTACTGTGATGTCTCTTGCCAAATATTTTACTCACTTTATATGTCTTTTTGGACAGAATGACAAGGCCAAGATCAAGAAGGTGATTGAAGAGCTTGATGAGAAGAAAAAGGAGACCTTGAAAGTTACTTGGGTGAAAGTGAATAAGTGAGTCTCTATCTTTCATGCAATCTGCTCCAGTTTTATCAGTTTTCCAGCAAACTGGTCGCTATCTTTTGGGATTCTTGATGTGCTTACTAGCCATCTTGTTTTATTTTCAGCGACTTTGGGTCCATCTTTTCTACATTATTGCCAGGAACTACAGCAAAGTTGGAACCTCCTGAAGGTTGCAGTTTTTTAGATGGCCTTGAGGTTCGCGTTGCATTTGGAGGAGTTTGGAAACAATCACTGTCTGAACTAAGTGGGGGTCAACGTTCTCTGCTTGCATTATCTTTGATATTGGCTTTGCTTCTATTTAAACCTGCTCCGCTTTACATTCTTGATGAGGTAAGTAAATCATATCAAATATTAAATCTTAGAGTAGATGTAAATAGACCTGGCCCTTTGTAAAAAGGGCATCGTCATGTCATTTAAAGTTTGTCAAATGCATCTTTTCAACTGTGTTTCCGTGGAATGTCTCTTAGTCAAATGAAGTATGCCTATGTTTCTTATTTTTCTTAGAAGTGTGCCATGGTTTGTGGATCTTGCTTTAGGTAGTAGGTTAGGATGGCTAGGAGTTATGTTGCGCTATTTGTTTTATTTATTTGTATTAATAGAGAGGGCCTAACAGTGATTTCTGAATGTCCTCAAGCTAGCTGGTTGTGTCAGTTGGTTCATGTTTTTGAGAATTCTGACTCTGTTTAGTTGTTCTCCATTTTAATATTTGCTTAGTAGCTTGTCTTTTGTTTGATGCTAACTGGTTGAATTTGCCTATAAACTTTCATTTTGAATATGTTCTCTTTGCATGTTGTTAGGTTGACGCTGCTCTTGATCTGAGCCACACACAAAATATTGGAAGGATGATTAAAACTCACTTCCCTCAGTCTCAGGTTGAACACTCTTCATCATTTGCCTCGGTTTAAATTTACAGTACCTGAGAAAGATGTTGCATTCTACTTTGTTTCTGTTACTCAGTTTGGGTGGTCTCCCTGATAATTTCCGTTTTTGCTATAGTTTTCCAATTGAGTCTGCTTAGGCCATGCTGTTTGATAGTTGAAATTTTGATTTGGGATTGATGTAAATTGACTTAGTATCTTCCTGACTTCTCTCAACAAATATGTGGTTTCTTATATCTCATTTATTTGAGTAGTGGGACTGGTACATAACATCTGTAGTTCTGAAGGTGAAAATGGGTCCTTGCAATTACTTCGTATTAAAATTTAAAAAATCCTGGTCAACTGTCTACATCAGTCAAGAGTAATTTGGTACATGGTTTGTTGTAGTTTGAATACACTTATTTCTGCGATTTAGTTCCATGATTACGGTTGATATATATATATGTGACTTTAATTACAGTGGACCTATGTTTAAAGTAGCATCAAATATGACTTTAATTACTGCCTTCTGCTTTTTTTTACTGGTAAACAATTGAAGGTCCTATTCAGAATTTATGTTTTTTCCTGATATTTTTCTTATGGATTTGCTAGTTCATTGTGGTTTCTCTTAAAGAAGGGATGTTCAACAATGCAAATGTCATATTTCGCACCAAGTTTGTTGACGGAGTTTCCACTGTTCAGAGAACTGCCACAGCTAAGCAGAAGTGATTTCTCAATGTCCATAATTAGAGGTAACTCCTATGCTGTGTAGCACGTCTCATATGCTTCTTCATCCTCAAGTTCTCATAAATCTCACAACCATACCTGTGTATACTGGTCTGTGTATGAGACTGAAGTAAACTACCAGGATTTGGATGGGGTTATTTACTTTGGTAATTTTTTACTGGGGATCATTTCTATCTTATGCCTGAGATCTAATTAGGTTCACCAATAAACACTTGATCACATCCTCACAGGAGATGTGACAATAATCTACTACCTTCATTTGTCAAAATTGTTACACTTGTTTTCATTGTCCCCAATGCACACATTTGACCATCAAAATCACAGGTGATGGTTACAATAATCTACAACCTCACAGGTGATTTGACAATAACTAGGCATTATTAAACATGGATGGCAATATTTGGTGAGATTTCAAATTTTGACCTTATAAAGGGAAATGTAACCATTTTTGTGAAAAGGAGCCCATACCTTAAGTCTACTCCTGGTCGTGTTGTTGCTATATTAACCAGGAGAACTAGTAGATCAATTTGGCTCTGAGATATTACCATGAATTCTTTTTGCTTTGGTTGCTTGAGTATTGGCTCCATCTGTCTATCATACAGACATTTCTACAGATCATACATTCCTTTTGATCTGACATCATATTTTCCGTTTTCCAGGATTTGACAAAAATGGTTGCTTACCATTTAGATCAATCGGCCAGCATTACAGCGTCCTGCACCTCTTATGGATTTGGTTTACATTTTCTGTATGTATTTATGTATATATAAGTAGCCACTGGTAGGTTTTTTTGGCAGCCTTCATATTGTTGTCTTTGTACTTGTAGTTTAAGTACCACCTTCATTCTATGTAATATGTGATCAATTTCAATCTTCTGTTGATTATTGATCACTGAGCTTGCACAATACTGTTTTATGTTGCAATGCAATTATCAATATAAGTAATCCAATCTTTAAGTTACATCAACTATCACTCGTGTTGATTGTACTATTCCCTTGTGTTTAGTACTCTTTTTTTTCGTTTATCGTAATTTTATTTTTTCTGCTAAAGTTCCATTTTTTTTAGAAAAAACTTCTTAAGTGAGACCATTAATAAACTATCAAACAAAGAATAAGTTGCTTTGGCAAAAAGAGGTGCTCACCAATCTCTCTAATCATTAGGGGTGATATTTTAATACTCCGTATATAAAAAAAAATGTAAAAAAGTGTATACAATTTTCTCTTTTTACCAACTTTTCAATTTTTTTTATACAAACCTTATTAAATAGGGCAAGAAAAGGAATTTATTTATTTATTTATTTATTTTTAATTTTGTAACCATAAAGATAAGGAGATCGAAACCTATAAAGAAATTAGTATAGATGAATACATTATAATTTAACACCAAAAAAAATGAAGCATAATATCAAAAATACTGTAAGAAAATATTTTAAATAAACAGTGAAAAAGTTAATTAAAAACATTCCATGAATAAAAAATATACAAGTTTATTACGGAGTAAAAACAACTAATACACTTGAGTACATTATGGACCAACTTTTTATACGTAGTAATCTCTACCAATTCCCACCCAAAATTTTCATCCAATTTACAAACCCCATAAAAAAAAAAGAAAAGAAAAAAAAGTGGGCTGTTATCAATCTTTCAATCACCAACCTCGGTGGGTTAGTGGGTTTGTTGACACATCAAAGTTGCCACTCTACAGTATACGCAGTTTGTCTATTGGAGTTTTGTTAAAGTTTGCACCTCTTTTTCTTCGTTTTTCCAATAGATTCGCCAAATATACTCCCTCTACTTTGTTAGATTACACTCAAAGTAGGGTAACTATGGCTTTACGATTGTTCGCTTCTAGGGCTGCCTCAAGACTTGGGATCTCTGTTCTTCCCAGATCATTTGCTACTGGTATTAATCCCTGATCATTTTTTTCTCTTAATATATTTATTGATTTACATATTTTTTTTTTGAATTTGACCTTTGTTACATAAGATCTTATCTGGGTTTTTGTTGAAATGCTGTATATATTCTTGATGTGTTTTGATTGAAGCGTTTTTGTTCTGAATCTTGTTTTTTTGTTAATATTTGAATTTGTTTTGTTTGGGTTATTGTTTGATTAATCTTCATATGCGATTAGTTGGGTAGGATTAGATACCATTGGATTTGATTAAGATATACATGTTGAATGTAAAAAAAAAAAAATGAAATTTGTAGTATATGATTGTGCATACATGAGATGTAACTTTGATTCCTTAGGTTAATTTGTTATTATCCTAGGTGAAATTGTCTAAAGTTTGTATTTTTGCTCTAAAAATGGCAGAATAATTACTGGGTTTCGTCGGTTCCTTTGATTTGGAGTTGAAAGGGACGTTTATATTCACTTGTGCTTCTGTTGTGTAGTGTAATTGTGTAAGATGCATTGTCTTATATTATTCATTATCATGTCATTTTCAATCCAAATTTGTGGGGTATATAACCTGTAAAGTTTTTTAATTCACTTGGTTTAAGCTATTATTTTTAGGGTTTTATTGAAGAATAATGTCACTCGCGAGATTGTTCTTTTAGATGATAATTATGGTTAGATGCTAAACTATATCCAGTTTGGAAAGTGTCCTTTTGTAAGGTGTAGTTATAAAGGCTGATAAGATTTCCACGTTACGTTGAAGGGAAATAGAGTTTGCTTTTTGTGACAGATTGCTTCGTTTGTCACTATTTGTTCTTGATGGCTGCCCTTTTGATCTTGCTGTGACAAATAGTTGTTCTGTCTAGTTGCCTTGCATGGTGGTGTAGAATATTTGTTCCACACTTAATCCCTTCACTCGTTACATGCATTGATCATTGTAAGAGAGTATATTTAAAAGCATTCAGGGGTAGAGTGCATTTTTGAAAGCCTCTTTGAACTTTTAGAATTTAACTCCACCTTATTGGCATCACTTAAAGTAATACTTTTGGGAGAAAAGAAAAGCCTTTACTGCTATGTAGGTGATATGGTTAGAGCTTTTGCCTATGTGTTAGAGTTAGTTCGCTGGATGCTTTCTTTTTACGGGAGATATGGTTAGAGCTTTTATGTCCAATTTTTTCCGTTTTCTAGTTTAAGTGAAAAAACATGAAGTTAAGGAGGGGGGTGGGATCAGTGGTAATTTGATACCTTTCTTTTTTAGTAAGTGCACTGTAAAGTCAATGATAAATTGTAATGCTGAAAACTGAAAACATGGTTAGGGGAATGGTCAGCATTTTGATGATCGGATGGGTCAATTTGCATACTTGTTCTCCTGCTGTGTAGCTTACTGTATAATTAACCAAGGTGTTGAGTGAATCTTATCATGAATTATCAACTCATATAGCTTACTGTATAATTAACCAATTTGCATACTTCGTATATAAGTTCTTTGCTGCATGTCTGGTGTTGTCAAGTTATGGACTTTGTAGCAGTTGTTATGTTTGTGTATGCAAGTTGTGTTATTTTTAGTTTCATGTTTTCTTATTTCTTTCTTGCTTCAAGCTGCTTAGTTAATAATCTCGTCTGTAGATGTTCTGAAATACTTCCTATGCTTTGATGACAAATGCATCCTCAAACCTTCAGCGTCATTTTTTTATATGGCTGTGGTGAAGGATGATGATATTGGCCCATCATATATTAAAATGATACTTTTATTTCATCTGCAGTTGTTGGGGACTTGAAGTATACTGACTCTCACGAGTGGGTGAAAGTTGAGGGTAATTCAGCTACAGTAGGCATAACAGATCATGCACAAGAACATTTGGGTGATGTCGTATATGTTGAGTTGCCAGAAGAGGGAGCTGCTGTCTCTAAGGGCGAGGCTTTCGGTGCAGTTGAGAGTGTGAAGGCATCTAGTGATGTTAATTCTCCTATATCTGGAAAAGTGACTAAAGTCAATGACGAGGTTGGCGACTCCCCTGGATTGGTCAACTCTAGCCCCTATGAGAAGGGATGGATCATTAAGGTTGAATTGAGCAATTCGGATGAGCTTAACTCCTTGATGGATGCAGACAAATACAGCAAATTCTGCGAGGAAGAAGATGCCAAGCATTAAACTAGACTGCATATCCAAGTATTGTTTTGAATGCTTGCTTTGCTTTGGAAATGACTATAATTGTTCTTGCTGTGATGAAGCTGCCAGGGAAAGAAGCTCCTCAACCCACCCCTGCCAGAGAAGTGAAAATAAAAAAAGTTTGAACCTTTACTCTTCATGTAGCTGAGATCTTTATTCTTTTAGCTAGTATTGGTGATCTCAAATGAATGGATTTTTTTTGCAAGAACAATTGACCTTTGTGTTTTTAAAAGTATCAATTCATGAGTACTGAAAGTGGGGTTTTAATCTTATTTTTGGGGCAGCATTTTAGCAATGTCATTTGAGTATGTGAGTGAGGCTTTGTTTTTTTTTTTTTTTTTTTTAGCAGAATAAACAAGAAGAAAATAACTAATTAGCGAATAAACATTTGATTGAAAGATAGACCCAACTCAAGAGGTGGAATTTGATTTATTTAGTGTTTTTTTTTTTCAAAAAAAAAACTCGAACACAATAATTTGCCAACCAATTTGTTGCTCTATTTGTTTACTGATTTGATAAATTACTTATTGATCTTTCCTCAAAAAATATTACTTAGTGCCTATAACTTCACTATACCAATGCTTCTTTGGAATTTTTAGTGAACTCGTTAAACCTATAATTTTTGCATGTTCGAAAATGTCAATATCATTAATCATTATGGATACAGAATTTAACTAGCAAAATTATGTAACACTTTCTTGTGAAAGAGGAACTTTGGCTCTTTTTTTTTCCCTCCGTGAATGATTGGATGGTTTAAGAGTGTTGGTTTAGCAAATTTGTTCACCTCTTTATGAAAATAAAATAAAAAAAATAATGATTTAACATAGTAAGTGCAACTTCCTACTGTGCTTGCTGTTCAAATCTAATTCACAAAACCAAGTTCAGTCCGGCAATAATAATATTGAGAGAAGAAAGATTGACGAGCCTGGAAAAAAAAAATGGGCCTATAACTTTCCTGTTTCGCTTCAGTTACCCTCCTTCAGTAATGGCAAAGCTCAAAGGTATAATTCACAATACTGTACAACTAGGAGTGACATTGCGCTCGAACATACATTTAGTACACCACATATCCTGATTGAAAGCATATCTCCCCAAAAAGCATAAAATGAGGAGCTATTGAAACAAAATTGAGGCTTGTTGGTTGATTCTCGAAGTGATAGATGGTCAGATACTGCCTTCAAATGCTTTCTCGTTCCTTCCAAATGTACTAGTGATAATGGGCTCAAGTATAATTGTATGAAGCAAATAAGTGCAAGGACATAATTGGACTTTTGGCATCAAAACTATTGATCTAGATTTACACGTCGCATTTTGCAGATGAGATTGGCTGTTGGAAGGTCAAGCTGGGTGCTGGAATCTGACTTGATCAGATCTTTTAGTTGATCTCTAGGGATGGAAAGACATGTCTGAAATGTTGCAAGTGTTGGGGGAATTGGAACTGACAAAGCTGAAAGAACGTTTGCCAAATACTCTATATCAACTGAGAGCTGCTGAGCTCCACGATCAGTTATATATTGAATCCCTCGCAACTGTTCTATGTATATTGCAGCAGCACCCTCCGCAACCTTCAAAGGTTTAGGCATAACAAAGTATAAGCAGGCATCATGAACACAAACAGGTATAAAGGGAACATATACAAAATTAATAGGGAAAAAGTGAAGGTGGAGGAATCAAGAATCAAAAACTTCAACAGATAACTGGAAAAGCATAAGGTAAATTGATGTCACCTTAAACATCCATTCAGTAGCGAAGAACTGGGCATCATCTGCATTGGCATCATCACTGGAGATACCTTCTACAAGGGGCTCCAATTGCTGGGGCAAGGTAAGGAGATACTCACCAATACTAGTGATATAGGATTGAGGGTATGAGCTAAAGCTTGGAAGAGGAAAAGCGCTAGTCTCCTCTGCAGATGCCCAGATTGGCATGCGTGACACATCACTGAGACGCTGTCGTACCTTTGATATCAGGACATCATATACAAGCTCATTAACAGTTTCTGCAAATGTGGCAACTCTCTGAGATGCAAGTGGAAGTGCATGGAACCGAGGGTCTTTAGACTGCACAACCATAAGAAGTAGCGTTCTAAAGTAAGTTTATTATACACCTTTAAGACAACATAGCATATATACAAAGATTCCAAAGGAAACAAGACAAATAATTTTATTAATACAAACACCTCAATATAGCCCCTAAACAGAGGCAGAACATATAATACAGCCATGGAAGAGGGTCATAGAATTTGTTAGTGATTCAAAATTGGTTTAACACCCACTATCACAAAAGCAGTTAAGATTCTCAAAAAGCTTTTCATATGTAATGACCTGATGCCCAAAGATCTCTTTTCATTTGCTACAATCTTTCTCCGTATTTGCCAAAACAGCTTGACCTACAAAATCTACCTACTCCCTTGCCCCTTTGTAGTAAATTTCACATCATTTCATACAAAATTAATATTTAAGACACCATTCAAACAGAAATTTGTCAGACGACTAATAAGTTTACATAAATTCTTAAACAACCCCTTCAGCTGCTCTATCCCTGGACCAATTTTACATTTAACTCATAAACAATCCCTCTATTTGCACTTTCCTAAGACTACAAAATACTAGAGCATATATTGAGTTGAAAAGAAGAGATGAAACCAAATGAATTGTACTTGCCTGTTCCAAAAGACCAACTAGCTTTCGAGCCTTTTCAGGAGCATCAACTAAACGTACAGAAGCCATATCTAGAGCAGCTCTTTCATCTACATTCACATTTGCATACTCATTGTCAATGGACAATTGTCTCTGATTTTGGTCCACAGAAAATGCTGATGCAGGAAGACTTGTACTTAATCTAGAAAGAGTAGATCTCAGTGAAGCTTCAAAGACCGAGGATCTGCTCGTTAAACAATCAGCAACAGTAAGAATCTGTAAGGCCCCTTGTACCATGGACCATTCTTCCTCGTTTGAAATTAGGTCAGCTTTACGAGGATTATGTGTTCCTTCCTTCTTGTCCAATCCAGAATCTTTCTTTGCAATGTCAAATGTATTATCAACTCCACATACTGCTCTTAATGATTTTAATGTCTCGTTAAGCATAGTAATGTACTGCAACATTATGTCATCCAAGGCCACAATTAGCTCATCTACCTCAGAACCACCAGTAAAATTAATACACCTCTCAACTGCAGCTTCAAGAAGCAAAATGACCTGAGGAATAGACTCCTCCATCCTCCTAACAGTTTCACTCAGTTCAATTCCCTGAGCACCTACTCCACGAGCAACAGCTCCTCTAAGATCTAACTTCCCAATCTCAGAAGCAAGAATAGCACGCTCCATTTGCCCGTATCTATCACACAAAAATTTACATATCAATTAGAATTATGAAGCATCAAAGTAACAATTTGCAAATTAGTCAAAGGAACTTGGCATGCACTACTGAGCTACAGCTCAATCAATGGGCAAAAACAGTTGAAAGCAAGATCAAAATGAGTTAATTTTAAATTCAAAGTCTTCAACTTACTTCTTTTTAAATGTCTCAAAAGGAGAGTAAATTGCTTTTGCTGTATCAAGTAATACTTGCATCGCAGATTCTGAAAAGAGATGTTGGATATTTCTTGCAAAAGTGCTTGTCACGTTATGCAGTTCGATCATTGCATCAAGATGCTTGCTGTGAATCTTTCCTTTGGGCATATCACCAGATAACAAATCCAATGTCCCTGAAGATGTGAATTAGAGAACAAACTTTGTTATTTTAGCTCAACTGTATATCTGAAGCACCAACATTGGGCCAGCTGTAAAATCTACAGTTTTTAAAGTCACCTTAATCAGATTGATTCACATGACAGTTAGAATGCTAGTAAAGCAAAGAACAATTATAGCTATCTCACAGAAAACTACCCCAATGCTGAGTGTAAGCATGAGAGGGAAATTCTTTCTGAATCGAGGCTCCATCAAGACTTCCTAAGTTCGGACATAGTCCTCAGCTTCTTTTCATCATCCAATACAATTTTATTGGCTAACAATGGCAGTTTCTAAACAACACAGGACCTATTTATAAAAGATATGTATCTGATAGACTGATAACATATGGGGCACACAAACGCAATTTATCTCTCCTCACTAGTCACTAAATGAAAAGGGTAACTAATTGCAGCACACAAATAACACACCAGAGCATAAATCTATTTGGCACACTAAGATGCAATTATCTCACCTTACAAAATAAAACTGGCAACTAATTGTTTTGAATAAACAGCACATCAAAACTAAAATCTAACATAATATTTATAAAGTCATGAATTTCTGTTCCTGCTATTATACCCAAAGGTTGAAACTTAAAACTGTCAGTGTTTTTAGAGTAGGAACTCCACTTGCCAAGTAAAATCATAACCTATACGTAGTCATGCAAAAAAAAGAGGAATTTGGGGGTGATATGATCCTGCACCTTTTCTATTACTTCTTCCATCCTAAAAGAAAACAGATTTTCTACAGCTAGTACGCCGCACTGTCAAATTTCATTGTCTTCAAGAACACAAATAGAAATAAGTTAAAAATAATTATAGTTTAATAAAGTAGATATAATGTCAACAGACCTGTTAAAATACTTTTTCCAAATTCATAATTTCATAATATTTGATGTTAGAACAGAAAAAAAAAAAAAGAAAAAACACTGCTAAAGTGTGCCCTTAAAACTATGACTGCAAAAATGCCAATAGACCTTATTTGATAGAATAATGGGAGCATATAAAATAAAGCTTTAGGGATATTCAACATTCAACCTTTAGCTAATGCTTTTGTTTCAGGAACAGCATCTCCAGTTGCAAGATTGATGAGGGAAATGAAGCTTGAATTAATAGCCAGCATTATCTCAATTAACAGCTTTGGTACCAGTGTTGTATAATCATCAGGAAAGGCAATTGCGCACCTGCAAAATAACATGTGAATAACTTCTATGACGCAAAATAAATGACAAGCCAAAATAATAAAAACAAAGTTCATAAAGGGTGCCAGCTAAAAATCAGCTTTAGCTTTGGACAGAATTAAGAGATGAAGTGTGAAAATTTAGAAAGAAGATGAAGAATGACTGCTTAATATCTGGTAAACAGCAATATTAGAAGACAGTTACAAACATTCTAGAGGCTTGTTCTCTCCAAGAAGGTAAAACAAAACTACAATAAAATCTTAATAATATTCAGCATGCTTTTCCTCTCTATAATATGCACTATTAATAGAGCTTTTACCTTAAGTAACTACCTATCTTATTAGTAAAGTCACTAATAACTCAATTATTATGCTACTACATAAAGTACCCTCCCCGTATATTGATGCTTAGCGGTGCTCGATCTTCATCAATCTTGTGGGAAATTCATTCTCAGAAACTTAAAGATGTAGCCATTTACAGCTAAAGAAAATTGCTAATGGAGAGTAAATTTTTTTTTATAAAAATGTAAAAACAATAATAACTCTAAGATTCATATGAAAGCAAGGAAAACTTCACAAAAAAAGGCCTAGCATGTTTTTTAGGGAAAAGGCAACTGAGAAAGGGACACAACAAGAAAATTGTGATTTTACCATTTCCATTCTTGCTCAAGATAGAGTTGCAGTTCATCGTAAAAGCTTGGCAACCATTTAGAGAAAGAAAGGCCTGAATGATTTGATTGGAATTCATTACTAGCTAGCCTTTGCCCATCATTTTTTTCAGTTGCCAACTTATTGATTCGCTGCCTGGATTCAAATTCATCCCAAAGTTTTTTTATGGATTTGAGGTGAACCTTTGTATAGTATACTTCTAGGGACTGGAATCTGCCAATTCGCACAAGAATTCCTCGCATCTCCTGAGCAACTTCAATCTGTATAGCAAGAACAAAAAGTTTATGAGACACAAGGAGCATAATAGGAGCAGACAACGCAAAACACATATAGATACATTACTTTACGATTTGACAGGGCATCTGTCAATCGAGGCTGCACCATCGCGTCCAATCTATCCTCTAAGACCTCAAGTTGCTTCCTCACATTAGCAAATTCAGCAACCTAAAAGTACAGCACAGAAAAAAATAATCTTAAGGCCAGCATGACTAGAACATATTTACGACTAATAGGAAGCAGCTAAACATCATACCTCCCCTACTGCAGACAGGCAATGCCTCATGCTGGCTAACGTTTCAGCAGCCCGTGAAAGATCACCACTCGCGAAAACATCCTCCACAGTTGAGCTCAATTGGGTCAACCCAGCAGCATCCTATATAGCATACCAAACTTGCCTTATTAAGGACTTGGCCTCTTCTCAGCCACATCAACTAGATCATTAAGTACAAAGATTAAAAAAAAAAAAAGTTATATATAACCTGCAATGTCTTGTATGCAGCTTCCATCCTATGTTTGACAGTGTCAACTTTTGCAAGAGCTGCAATAGAGTCAGCAGCAGAGCCTTCAGCCTGAAGAGAGTTAAGGCCAAAAAAAAAGAGCTCTCATTGAGCAACAAGTCTATGAAATAACGAGAGGCACATGTAGTCAAAGCCCTTCAAGTAATTAGCAAGATCTATACGATCAAACCCAAAAAAACTCATCAACTCAAACACTATTTGCATTTTATAGTAGAGATGATCAGCTTACTTTCAATAGTGCATATAATTCTCAAGATTATACGTCGAAGTGAGCAAGACTTGGCAATAAAACCCTCTACTGGCACAAACAGAAATTACTTTGCAGTTAATAACTAAGTTGGACTATATTACACTATTAGGGAATAAACAGCTTCCCAAAATTATTACAGAAACTACTTTTTGGTTGGTTAACTTATGAAAGTATAAATCAAGGCAAATCTAACAAGGCTTTCTACCCTCTAATTTGGTAAAGAGAATTGTTGGAGTAATAGATGTTCTAATATAAAAGTCCAAACTATTCCTTTCAGTTCAATGGTAATTGATAAACTTTTTACCCTCAAATTCGGGACAACAACAACAACAACAAAAGGGCCATTATGACCAAAATAATTATGTGATAGAGTCAGTTCCATAGTTCCTAGAATTAGTCAAAGATACAAACTTCAAAACCTTCAGACCACTCAGCTTAGCAAGCTGTTGTTTCAGGATCTAAAAAAAAAAAAAAAAAAATCTAACATCTAGTATATGCTATAACACACTGAAATCCTCAGTTATCAAAATTTGTTTGCCAAAGTACAGTTTCACACTTATAAGGTAAAATTGCTGGTTAATTTGGACCAAAAGACAATACTAGCTTATCAGGAAATAAACTCCACCTCTTGATTCTTTCAAAGAAGTGCCACGTGCATTAAATTGTGGACAGTAGCCCTTATCTATTCTTTTATTAACAGTCTACTACTATGTTTTAATCAGATTACTGTACTTCCATTAAGTTTTTAATCACCACAATTGTGAGCCTTATGGAAGCTGTCAAACATTAGTTTATTAGTTTAGATTCTGTAATTCAGAGGCACAATGGCGAACCTTAGTTTGGGCTAGTAGGGTCCCAACCTCCCTTGATTTTCTTGGGTCATTAGGTATACAACATTTATGTTTGACTAAAAGTCTAAATTATGCATTATAATATAGCTCTTGCTTAATGGTTAAATGTTCAATTTTTGTACTAGAAGTTTAGAAAGTGTAGCTGTTGTTATCTATGATGGCAACTTCACTTACATGAATTCATACCTAACATTTCAACTGTATTGCTTTGTAAATGGAAATACATGGCACATATCTCATAATTACAAGACTACATAGATTTCTAATTTCACCTTCATTCAAATGGTCTCACTAGAGCAACAACTATTCAACACGATCCGTAAACGCCCTAGCTAATTGCACACTATGTCTTGCACAAATTCATCTCAGTTTTCACCATTACTAGGATCAAGTAACTCTTCACACTCTCATATTATCAAATATACGACAACAAAATAAACTAAATTTGACAGTATTAATTCCAATTCCACAACTCCGCAAATATCCATAATTTGTCACTAATTGAAATATGCAGTAACATAAAATTTCAATCAAATTTCCAAAAATTTCTTGATTAACAGACAAAATCAAACCAAAAAAATTAAATTGAATCAAACCTGCTTGATCTTGGTCAGGATGGTGGAGATGGAGGAGCGGAGAGAAACGGCGTCGTCGCGAATACGGATAACGTCACGAGTGGCGCGTGGAACGCGGAGAATGGAAGCAGAACTTTGTTCTTCAAGAGAAGCGGAGATCTCTTCAGACATCAACTGAAGCTTCATTTCCAGATCTGCTAAGTGATTCTCCAGCACGTCTTGCGGGTGACGCGCTTTCACGGCGTTGTTTATCCATTTTTTCGCGTCGAATTTCTCGTCGGAGAATGCTCCCAAATCTACCATCATTTTTCCAGAATTATGATGAATTGATCGATTGATTGATAAAGTGAGAGAATGATCAAGAAATGTGGAAATGTAGGTTGATGAATGAGTTTGAGTTCATCTGAATCAGAGGTTTTCGAGCTGGTTAAAAATGGAGGTTTTGAAGATGAAATACACTGGAGTAACAGGAGAAAGATGGAGGAGATCTAACCATTTTAGTTTTCCTTTTAAGTTTTTGGTAAGAAACGAAAAGAACAAGCACTTTAGTTTGAGAAAACTAGAAACGGCCCAAGTCGCACGGAACGGGGAGTCGGGGTCTCGGGACTAGTCCATATGGTTGTCTTGTTGAATGGTATTTAGTATGGCTTGATGACTAACATTTAGGGAGGAATTCTCTTCCTATAATAATTTGAGTCAGAATAACTCTAATAACACGCGTTGATATTCAATTATATTTAAGATGGTATTATCGTGATACCGACATATTAATTCAGTGGTATTAACGAATGCAAAAATATTTTGTTGGTATCGATATAGTTCCTTGTTGGTATTTAGATGATACTATCTAAACATAATTTAATGCCAACGCCGTATTATTAGAGTCATTCATGACTTAAATTATTAGAGGTTGAGAAATCCTCAACATTTAGGTGATTTAGTTATGGAGTAACGAAATAAGGACTAAGACCAAAATATTGTAGTTAAGCTTAGTTTTACTTGAGAGCACTAGGCTTGCTAGCCAATTGGTAGCCATTAAGAATTTATGATATTAATCTTAATTTACATTTGTCTCACTATTTAAATGGATGCTGGTACGTATACATACACGGATGACACCAAAGTGAATACTTATAGTTAGTGCCTACAAGGTTCAATATCTATAGAACCATATTATTGTTTAAAACATGCTACTTCTCTTATAGCTTTGGTTTAGTAAAATGTATACAACTTATTGTTCAATTGTGTTGTAAGCCTGTGATTCCTAATGCAATCTATATCTATGTCATGGCGTCTATTTATAGATCAATTCCCTTGTTTATGAAGCTTTTTGACAAATTTAGGGTGATTGAGAGAATAGAATGACTTTGTATTGCTTTTTTTTATTTATTATTTATCAATAAGTAGAGTATTTATACAAAACATACACTCATAAGTTAGGAAACAATCTTCCTAAAAGATATACCAGTCTAACCATAAATCTTAAAGATATATTCTATAAATAATATCTTAAGATAAAATAAACCTAAATATATTATTCTCTAAATGATATCTACGAAAAATATATCACACATATATTTTCCGATATCTCATATCTCTAACACTTTTTTACTCCGATCTATGTATATCTTGATTTGTTTTCTTATACAAAGGCTTTGATCTGTTTCTAATGTAAGTTAGACTAATACTCAATTGCTTTCGATGCGAAGAGACAAACTATGCAACTAAGACAAATACATTATACGATAGTGAAAAAGCTTATGGTAGCCAAAATTTGGAAAATAAGGTCCAAACATGTGTTCCTTGTTAATCCTCTACATTATCCCAAAAAATACCTACTTTGTGGCTCTGCTTCTGTTTCGCTTAAGTACAAAACTTACAACAAAACCCCATAATCCGAAGAATAACAACCAACCCAACTAACCAAAAATTCTGAAGTGCCCTCCAACACACAATATAGAGAGAAGGTTAAAAAATCATGAGCAATGATACCTTAGATAAGCTAGTCATCTTCTTAGCCAAAAGAGATGGCATAGATAAGCTAGTCAAGACCTACCAATATGTTTCCAAGTTAGCCCATTGGCACCTCGAGGCAACGCAGCCCAAGTTGGCCCAACGGTTCAAACTATGGGAGGTGGCTGCGGGCATGAGTCGGAAGGCCTTTCGGAGTGGCCGGTCCTTGACAGGGCTCAACACCATCCGGAGGAACCCGGGCCCAACTCGTGGGCTCCAGACCTTGGCCGTGCTAGGGAATGCAGGGGAGATGGTTTACTTCTTTTTCGACCACTTTACTTGGTTGTCAAGGCTTGGAGTGTTGGATGCAAAGTTGGCTAAGAAAATGAGCTTCATTTCAGCCTTTGGTGAGTCAGTTGGTTATGTCTTTTTCATAATATCAGACTTCATTCTCATGCATGAAGGTTTGAAGAAGGAAAAACTGTTACTCAAGGGTTTAGATGAGGATGAAAAGAAGGAAGAGGAGGTGAAAGAAGGGGTGGGGAACATAAGGGGGGATCGAGTGATGAGGTTGATGGCGGTGGCAGCAAATGTGGCGGACTTGATCATTGCGGTGGCGGAGATTGAGCCAAACCCGTTTTGCTGTCATGCTGTGACGTTGGGGATTAGTGGTCTTGTTTCTGCATGGGCTGGTTGGTATAGAAATTGGCCTTCTTAAAGAATGTAGAGGTTTTACTTTTTTTGGGTTTACATGTAATTATTGGGACACTTTTTAATGTTTTAAAAACTCTAAATGCTAGAAAATATTGCAATGAGTGCATGAGTTTTTCATCTTGGTGTGTAGAACTTTACAACTGTTCTGGACATGGTTGTGAACATGTGTTTGATTAAGTGATTGAACAATTCAAAAGGTTAATTTCTAATTGTAACGAATGCAAGAAAGATTGAGCCAAAACAATAATACACCCAATATGTTTTCAGGATTCAGGAGCTCAGAACCATTGTTCTATCGCTCACAAAAAGACTGCTACCAAAAAATTAAAGATAGATAGTAACCATTTTTGAGGAAAGTGTAGGGTTTCGTAGTGGCCCGACACTACGCGGAAGGAAACCCACCAAGACCCGCCCCTTAATTAAAGCAATTAAACAAGCATGATAAACTTAATCAAACAAGATTAAGGATAAGAATTATACCTTTGACGCGTGCTTCGCTCCCAAGGAGCTCTTACTTCAAAATCTCGAAAAGACGAGATCTCCGACGGATCGTACCCTCGACCCGACCCGAGCGTCCCAAGTCTTGAAGGTTAGTCAAGACCCGGACAAAATAACTATGAGTTTTACGAATCAAAGGTTTACTCTTTTCTAGAGTTGCCTTTTTAATTCCACTCAAGGTTGTCTCAAATTCCAATACCAAGCTTGGTATTTATAGGGAAATGATCCCTTGATTTCCAATCTCCCATCAATGTGGGAGAGTTGGTAAAATGATAATTATTTAATTCCAAAATTAAATAATTAATCAACTCAATCACAAATCGACACATGGCACAAATATAGAGAAAGCCAAGTGAGGACCAAGGCTTGGGGGGACCATTGCCTTGATCCCCAAGGCCATGTATTGGTCCCCACACACCATGCCCAAAACCGGGTCAAGGTGTGCTAGCTGGCTGCCAGCTAGCGTGCCAGCTGGGGCTGCCAGCTAGCGTGCCTTGCTGCCCAGCACCTAGCCAGCCAGCCAGTGCACGTTGCTGCTGGGCTGTGCTGGTGCTACGTGCTGGCGCTGGGCGCTGCTAGCACCTAGTGCTGGCATTAGCCCCAGCAGCCCACGCACTCACTCTTCGCGCCTCACTACTAGCACAGCCAGCATTCGTGCTGCTAGCGAGCCACGCATGCTGGCCACACTGTCCCCCCGCACCATTCGCATACCCATCGCACACACGCACTAGCACGATGCCTACGCTAGCACTAGCCAGTGCCTAGCACTGCTTGTGCTTGATGCGAGGCATGTGCGCACGTACACGCACTCGCATGCGTGGCGCTGCTGCCTAGCACCCAGCTAGGCATTGCACGCACACGCACCAGCCATGCGCCACGTACCACGCACTGCCAGCCCACACGCATCACATGCGAGGCTGCTTTGTGCGAGGCTAGTGTGCGAGGCTGCGAGTGCCAGGCCCTAACATCAAGCTGGCGCGCAGCCCCTCGCATGTGCTGCGATGCTTAGTGCTGCCATGCGAAGGCTAGCACTCAAGCACACGCACATGGCGCGCCATTTCCAGGCAGCCAGCCACGCCAGCACCTGGTGCTTGCGATGGTGCTGCCAGGCCAGGCACGCACGCACGCAGCACCCAGTGCTTACGATGGTGCGCCTGGTGATGCCATGGTCTGCGATAGGCGCCATATGCACCCAGGCACCACGCTAGCATGCTTGCTAACTGCTATGGGCTGCCTGGTGCCTGTGTGGCCTGCGATGGCTGCCATGCGCACCTAGGCACCCATGCTAGCTTGCGATGGGCTGCTAGGTGACAAGCGCACTTTAGGGCGCGCTTTAGAGCATATTTTAGGATGATTTTGGATGTATTTGGGGCCGCTTTGGCCGATTATTACCTTGTTATGCTTACGTTCCCCATATTACGTGCTTCACGGGTTTTCGGTTTGTTTTTGATGTGTTTTCAGGTAATATCAACCGAGTTTGATCGGATCCCGAGCCCTTGATGCGTAACCGAGCTAGCCTTGACTGGAGTCCGAGGAGTTAAGGAAGTTCAAGTGCCGTGCATTGATTACATAGCACAGGCAGCACGGCCGTGTTACCATAGGCACACCCGTGCTGACCTATAATCAAGAGCATTTATAACGAAGCATGTTCCGGTGGTGCTGCATCTCCTCCTAGCGCATGAGAAGTTAATTATTAATACGTAATTAGCCTACAATAGTTTTAGAGATAGTTTTGAGAGCCTTTGTAGAGAGTTATTGGAGAACGTTCTTAGTATTAGAGATTCATTAGTTTTCTTAGAGATATTTCTAGAGATTTTAGTTTTCTTGGATTGATTTGAAGCAAGATTTGCGAAGATTCTTTGTATTATTCATTGACGACGGATATCAAAGTTATGAACTTTTCCATTGATTTGCATCAATACAATTGGTATTATTCATTCTTGTTTATTAATCAAGCTTTATTATTCCTTAATCAGAATTCATGTTTATATCTATTATGCTTTTGGAATTCCTTATTGCTTTGATTATGAATATGTGTGAGTAGTCTCCTAGCTAGGGTTTCGGGATGAAACCCGGCCTAGGTAATCTATGTAATTGAGGATTGATTTTGATAAACGGATTGTGATTAAATTGATTATATGCGATTGCATGTTAATTCATTATAATAGGAGTAGCTAACCTAGAATCTTGATTTTGATTGCATGATATCCTTGATTTGAACAAGAGATTGTGAATTGAGTATTTCATTATTGAATGTGGTTTGATTATGTATCGAGTAATGTTAAGTGCATGAGAAATCCAAGCTTAGTATTGCCCGTTGTCTTCCTATCACATGATATTGATCAGACATATAGTCTTTGCATATCCCGTTTGTCTCTGTGATTCCTTGTTGCGTAGTTACCGATGGTTTGGTGAATTCCCGTTCTCCCTAGTGTCTTAGTTTATTGATTTATTCCATCTTATTAGTAGTATTTTAGAACACCATTTTCCATTGGTTTCGAACTAGCTTAGGTTTAAGATTGATTTGCAATTACTCTCGTTCCTCGTGGACCGAACCTTTATTTGCCATTGTACTTGGTTATAGGGTGTTCGTATAAGTATTGTTTGATTGAGAGTTAGATTGTAGCGACCGATTTAACCCTTGTCAAAATGGCGCCGTTTGCCGGGGATTGCTTGTTTATAGGCCAGCACGGGTGTGCCTATGGTAACACGGCCGTGCTGCCTGTGCTATGTAATCAATGCACGACACTTGAACTTCCTTAACTCCTCGGACTCCGGTCAAGGCTAGCTCGGTTACGCATCAAGGGCTCGGGATCCGATTAAACTCGGTTGATATAAAAGCATAAACCGCTGAAAACTCGAAAGTCTGTCCACGTGACGTTTGGTCTTGTCTTCAACCAAATTTCTCTCATATTACCTGAAAACACATCAAAAACAAACCGAAAACCCGTGAAGCACGTAATATGGGGAACGTAAGCATAACAAGGTAATAATCGGCCAAAGCGGCCCCAAATACATCCAAAATCATCCTAAAATATGCTCTAAAGCGCGCCCTAAAGTGCGCTTGTCAAAACCCCCCAAGCTACACTTTTGCTAGTCCTCGAGCAAAAACCAAGGGATACACACACAAGATCAAATAAACTATGCCATTGCGAACAAATCAAATTAAGCACGGAATGAAGAGAGTGATGCGTGCCTTGAAGGAAAAGAAAACCTGCAGACTGCAGCAGACAGCACGGCCGTGCCATCAGACAGCACGGCCGTGCCAGAATCCAGCACGGCCGTGCCACAATCTGCACGGCCGTGCCAAACCTCAAAAGCCCACTGACATTCTAGCACGGCCGTGCCATTTTCAGCACGGCCGTGTCAAGTAATAGCACGACCGTGCCAATTTTAGCACGGCCGTGCCATCTGAAATTCGATTTCGCAAAAAAAGCCTGCCAAGCCAACACGGCCGTGCCAAATTCGGCACGGCCGTGCCAATTATAGCACGGCCGTGCAGCGCGGGTTCCGGATAGTTTTTCGTGTTTTTTAAACACGATTTCACTCAAACTCTCTCATTATTCCCTAACTCTCTAACACTCTTTCCTACCCTTTTTCTCTCTAAACTAACCCAAACCCCCAACCTCCTCCCTCAATTCCTCAAATCAAACCCTAATTCCCCATATTCTTCTTTCAAGATCTCGGCACCCTCCTTGCATTGGAGCATTTTTCAAGTGATTGAACGCAAAATTCGGCCCTCTTTGAGCTCGCCACAACTCCACTTCGTGGAGTCCTCAGTGAATTCGTTCTTAAACTCATTGATTTTCGCAATTTTTGTCCAATTTCATTCGTTTTATTGAATATTTGTTGTTGAATTGTGCTTTATTGTTGCAAGTTTGGGTGAACTAGTAGTGTTACGGTAGTACATTGCATGCTAGGATAGTTTCTTGCTTGTTAATTGGTATATTGTGCTTAATTTCTTGAATCAAACATGCCTAGAACAAAGACATCGACTAGGAGACCGGGTCGGGACGATGCATCCTCATCCATGGTTCCACCTACGGTGGACACCATGGGTATTGTTTTTAATAACCCGTCCTTTTTGGACAAATTTGTAGGATTATCCCACCGACCGATCCGGCCTACCAAGTTCTACGACCCTTTAGCCGCTAGGGCTCTAGGGATCGAAAGTGACATGGTTCAACTATTTTCATTTACCAATTTTGATTCTTTCCTTACCATGCATGCTCTCACTTACAAGAGGCTTACCCTCGTATTTTTGTCTTCTTTGTACGTGCATCGGGATGAGAATAACTCACCCCGGTACTTGTCCTTTCAACTAATGAACTCGGGCACCATTCAAATGTCGGTGGCCCAAGTTAATGCCGCCTTTGGGTGGACATCCGACCTGAAATATGGTCCTAAGGATGGCCACTCAAAACACTACAACTCCGGGTTATTTTGGCGGTAAATCACGGGGAAGATGGATAGAGATCCCCGTAGGGATAAGGCGACTTCCATCGTCAATCCCGCCTTTCGGTTGTCCCACAGGACCTTCTCCTCTACTATCTTTGCTAGAGGAGATAGTTCGGGTGTAGTCTCCATTAGGGAGTTACAGTTTATTTGGCACCTCACCC